CCTTCAAGGGAAGATTCCTGTTTCTCATCCCGTCCCTCCCTCCCTCCCTCCCTCCTTCCTCCCCTCCCTCCCTCTCTCCCTATCTCACTCCAAGACTGCCCAGAACACATTGGTCCAGTGCTACCCACGAACTTATGAAGAGAAGGCATTCTGTGGACCATCATTCACCCAGACTGGGTGCAGATGATGAGCTATATCAATTCCTTTTTGTGAGCATTATCTCCTGTGGAGGCTTTAAAACATGGTCATAAAATTCTTTAGCACTTATCCCAAGAGATGGGGCCTATGACCCCTCTCCTTGAATATAGACTCTTAATCAGGAGAATATGGTAGAAGTGACACTGTCCCAGTATCCAGATCCAGGGCCGTAAAAAACTAGCATCTGCTGTTTCCTGTCTCTTTTAAGATCCTTGCTCTTGGGACCCAGCCGCCATGCTGTGAGGAAGCCCAAGTCACCCTATGGAGAGGCACATGTGGAGAGAAGCAGCACACGGCACCAACTCTAAAGCCATGTGCGTGAGTCATCTTGGAAGTGGGTTCTCCAGCCCCAGCTGATGCTGTGTGGAGCGGAGACAAGCTGTCCCTGCTGAGCTCTGCCCATTTTGCAGATTGGTGGGCACACAACATGACTGCTGTTGTTTTAAGTCATTAACTTTTAGAGTGGTTTCTCGGTAGCCATAGATAACTGATGCATCCCCATCCCCCAAACTGGGGGCCCTAGGCTTGAAAGGCAGGAAGTGGGCCAGCTCTTGATCCCTGGAGCTAGGACCTAGGTCAGCACTTATCCCTTTAACAGGCATTTACTGAGTGGCCACCAAGTGCTAAACACTCTACCAGGGGTTGAGGAGTTAGCAGTGAATGAGATAGACCACCCTGCCTGGCGGGCCCAACTCAGGCACAGTAATGAGAGGACTGGGACTGTAGCCTCAGCCTGAGGGAGGGGAGAGAGAACTGTCTTCCTGAGGGAGGCTATTTCCAAGCTGAGACCTGACTCAGGAAAAGGAGCTAACCAGGCAGAGTCGCAGGGAATGGACAGATGGAACACCATGTGCTAGTTCTGGGCAAGGTTGCCAGATTTGGCAAATGAAAAAAAAAAATGTAACACCCAGTTAAATTTGAACTTCAGATAAACAATGAATATACTTAAAAAATATATCCCTAGCCGGTTTGGCTCAGTAGATAGTCAGCCTGTGGACTGAAGGGTTCAGGGTTTGGTTCCAGTCAAGGGCACATGCCCAGGTTTGCAGGCTCAATCCCCAGTAGGGGGTGTGCAGGAGGCAGCCGATCAATGATTCTCTCTCATCATTGATGTTTCTATCTCTCTCTCCCTCTCCCTTCCTCTCTGAAGTCAATAAAAAATATATACCTATATCTGTCCCATGCAACATGGGAGACATCCTAAAAAGTTATTCATTATTTCTCTGAAATTAAAGTTTAACGGGAGTCCTACATTTTATCTGGCAACCCCAGTGCTAGGGCAAAAAAGAGAGAGAGAAACTGTGTGATCTCAAGGGACAGTTCAGGAAGCTGGATGCAGCACAGGGGCAAACAGGGCATAGTGTGAGAGGTAAAGGTGAAGAGAGCAAGACCTATCATGTGGGTGCTCAGCAAGCTAATGGAAGGGGAGAAAGCCCACGCCTAGTTTAACGATGCTTTGTCATGGTATGAAGGAGACAGAATGAACTGCTCTTTGCTACACCCCCAGCCTTGGGGGGAATCTTCCCAATGGACAAAAGTTTGAGCAATGAACCTAGTTACTCAGAGGTGAAAGCAGGGCCTGAGAGCTGTGTAGTGACACAGGGCTCCCTGTTCAAAAGTGTTCCATGGTTGTTCCATGGATGCTCCACTGTAGCCATCTTGAGACTCACAATAATTTTGGACAGAGAGTTCTACATTTTATTTTGTACTGAATCCCACAAATTATGTCCTGGGTAAAAGATTCCAAGCCCAGGGCAGAGTAGAGGACCTACAGGACATAAGACTGCCTTGACTAATGCCTGCCATGTGTATGTATCTGTGTATGTGGATAGCTGTGTCTGGTGCATATTAAGTCCTCAAAAATGATGGCTATTGTACTATCTTTCATTGATGATGGTGATGATGATGATATCATTAGCCTCGTCCAGCTTTTTTTCAGACTTCATTTAAAAGCCTTGTTATTTCACTACCAGCCATCCTTCTGCTTTGTTTTACTGACCCATTTGCAAAGTACTTCATAAAATATATATTTTTTTATTGATTTTAAAGACGAAAGTGGGGGGAGAGAGAGGGAGGGAAAGAGAAAGAAACATCAATGATGTGAATCATTGATTGGCTGCCTCCTGCACGCCCCCTACTGGGAGTAGGGACTGCAACCAGGGAATGTGCCCTGACCGGGAATTGAACTGTGACCTCCTGGTTCATAAGTCAACACTCAACCGGCCAGGCTGCAGAGCACTTTTAATTCAAGCAATGCCTATGACAACCCTGAGGAACTTAACACAAATACACACTTAGCCTTTCAAACACCCACTGAGATATTGCACACCTTGGTTTGGTTGTTATCCCCATTCATTCAGTTGTATCAATCGTCCAAAAAATCCCACACACCCCCAACCCAGCTGCCTGATTCTCTCCAAGTTCACATGGACACACACTCACCCAGTCACACACTGGCTGAGTGTGGTGAGGTCTGCACAATTCCCCTCCTGTTAGACATGAAAACCTCCTGCCAGGGACAGCTGATATGAAGGCTACGTATGTGCAGGCTGCAGACTCTAATTTGTTTTTGAATTTTTAAAAATTATTAAAATAGGAAAGATGTGCATGTGTGATATCTGGTGACTAGGAAGGATGAGAAGGTGTGGCATCTTAAAAGTGCATTAGAGTCTGGCCAGTGTGGCTCAGTGATTGAGTGTTGACCTACGAACCAGGAGGTCATGGTTCCCGGTCGATTCCCGGTCAGGGCACATGACCGGGTTGCCGGCTTGATCCCCAGTAGGGGTTGTGCAGGAGGCAGCTGATCAGTGATTCTCATCATTGATGTTTCTATCTCTTTCTCCCTCTCCTTTCCTCTCTGAAATCAATAAAAATATATTAAAAGTGCATTAGATATAGTTTTCTAGATTTCCAAGGAGAGCAGAAGTTGTCATTATGTGGAAGCTTAGCAAGAAAACAAAGGTGACTTTTGTGTCCTTGCAGGAATCTAGGGGTTGGGGTGAGCCCCTGGGGGTAGAAGGGCCCTGATTTAATGAGGATTAGCTATGTCAAAGGGAAAACCAGTAACTTCATAGCCTCTCATGACACAACAAATCTGGGATTTTAGATAAGAAAAGCCAGGACAGGAGGGGGAGGGGGTGAAAGTGATGTCACCTGCTCCTCTCATGTTTCCTGCAAGCAATCACTGCGGGAAAGACTCCTGGCTCAGTAAATGAGTCACTGGCTTTATAAGCCAAGAGAGATGGAAAGCAGATTCCAGGAAATAAGCAAGGAAGAATCTTAGAGGAAGTTCTCAGCTTTAGTGTGAAACTGTCAAGCCTCTGTGCTCTTGGGGGAACCGGAGGAGAGAAATAACAGTGAGAAAGACTAGAGAAATAGCAAGGAACCAGAGGGAGCGCAAGGTAGAACCTGTGCCCTTGGGCGGTTTTGAATAACCAACTGAGATGGCACTGGCTCAGAAAACCACCACGCTGCTTCCGAAAGGGAGGAAATATCCCAGTGTTGCAAGGTCTGCGGTCATTCATAATTCAGCAGATACTTAGATATTTATTGAGCATCCTTCAAGTTCCTGTGGTGGGCGGGGTGTGGGTATGGAGTAGTGAATGAGGCACCATTGTCCCTGGCCTTACAGAGCTCACAGCCATTGAGCAAGTAGTGATCACACTTTGCTAAGTGACAAGGAAGAAGTTGAGGGGTAAGGCCACTGTGGGGATCCTAGAGGGCTTTTAAAAATATTTTTTTTATTGATTTCAGAGAGGAAGGAAGAGGGAGAGAGAGATAGAAACATCAATGATGAGAGAGCATCATTGATGGGCTGCCTCCTGCACAATCCACACTGGGGATGGAGCCTGCAACTCAGAAACGTGCCCTGATTGTAAATCGAACCGTGACCTCCTGGCTCATAGGTCGATGCTCAACCACTGAGCCACAATGGCCAGGCCTAGAGAGCTTCTTAACACCTAGGGTAGGATTGTCTAGACCAGTGGTCGGCAAACTCATTAGTCAACAGAGCCAAATATCAACAGTACAACGATTGAAATTTCTTTTGAGAGCCAAAGTTTTTAAACTTAAACTATATAGGTAGGTACATTGTTATTAACTTAATTAGGGTACTCCTAAGGCTTAGGAAGAGCTACACTCAAGGGGCCAAAGAGCCACATGTGGCTCTCGAGCCGCAGTTTGCCGACCACGGGTCTAGACACAAAGAAGGACAGGCTTAGTGCCAGGCCTGGGACAGAGGAAGCGAGGCTGTTTGGAAGGAGTGAGAGGAGTGCAGTTTTGGGAACAGGGGCACAAAAAAAGACTGGGTGGGTCCTTTCTCTTCTTCAATTTTGGGTTATTTGTTTGCTTAGCAAATTGGGGAGGCGCATCTCCGAAATGTCAGGCAGCCTGTTTGGCACTTTTTGTTTATTTATAGAGCAATTCAATTCACCAGTGTTTACTAAACTCCCTGAGCAAGTGAGCTGGGCCCAGCCATGGAGCAGGCAGAGGTCACAGCAAGAGCAAGGGCCCAAAGGTGGGACCCCACGGAGCAGTCTCAGGGGAGAGTCAGGGGTCCCTTGGGGCTGGAGTTGGGTGAGGGACCTGAGGCCTGAAGGAATGCCCAGCGGATCTGCCGACCTCAGTCTGGTGGGGAGCAGGACAGTCCTGGAGAGATCTGCGCTCTGAGAGGCTGAGGCCAGGTCGGGGAGGTCCCACCTCAGCACATTCTCTTCTGTGTGACGTGGGAGATAATTAACTGGGACCCTAACAGCTGCCACCACCACCCTTCAGGAATTCTGGCCCTCCCTGCATGCCATCTAGGCCGCACTCCCGCTGCACAGCTCTGTGGGAGAAGGAACTCTCATTAATCCTTTCTTCAGATGTGCTGGCCCGGGTCACCCACATACCAGTCCCTTTGCTGAGAAAGTCTCTGCCAGATCCCTGGGCTTTCAAGAGCCCGGGCTGATGGGGGCCTTCCCCACAGGCCAAGAGCCTGCCAACTCTCTGCCGGTCAAGGTCCTTTGGGCGCTCAAGGATCCTGACTCAGCTGACAATGGCATCCGGGGGAACAGGTGAACCCTGGAGGGGAAGGTAAGAGTCTTGGGTCCCACCCCAGCCTGGGCACTGTGGTGACCTGTGGGCATGGCCTTGCTCTCTCTACACTCAATAACTTTTGAGATTCAGGACCTCTGAGGCTGAGAATCAGGCACAGTGACTCAACCTGGATCTGGCCTTGGTGTGTGGAGCCCTGGACAAGAGTGGGTGGCCCTTTCAGAAGGGGTTGCAGACAAAGGCTATGATGTGAGAAGCAGAGGGCATTGTGAAAGCGAAGAAGAGGCTCCTGACCTAGCCTGGGGTCCAGGGAAGGTATCTCACAGAAGTGGTGTCTGAGCTGATGCCTAAAGGGTAGGCAGGAGTTAGCCAGGTGAAGGAAAGAGGGAAAAGATGCACAGAACAGCCTGTGCAAGATGTGAAGGCTTGGGAAAGCAGGTGTATTCAGGGAACACAGAAGTTCGGTCTGGCCCTGGCCAGTGTGGCTCAGTTGGTTGAGTGTCATCCTGTGCACTGAAAGGTCACTGGTTCAGTTCCTGGTCAGGGCACATACCCAGGTTTTGGGTTCAATCCTTCGGTCGGTTCGTGTACAGGAGGCAGCCAATCAATGTTTCTCACATCAATGTTTCTCTCCCTCTCCCTTCCTCTCTCTCTAAAATCAATAGAAAACATTTTTTTAAAAAAGAAGTTCAGTCTGGCTGGAGCTAGGACCTCCTGGGGAGTAACTGGCCAGAGATAAAGGGCCAAGGGGAAACTGAGAAGGGACAGGGTCAGATTTGCAGAGGCCAGCCTGCTGCCTGTGCAAGATGGACCAGTCCAGGTGGAACCGAGGACCCTAAGAGGCCAGACAGAAGGTGCAGGTGGTACCCTGGCCAAGGATGGGATGGTGGGGCTGGGGAGGACAGGGCAGACCTGGTGGCTGAAGGAGGTTGAGGGGAATGCCACCCAGACTAACATGAGGCCTTGGGGGGAGCAGTTCTGAGGAGAGGAGATGGGGTTGACTTTACACAATGAGTTTGGGGTGCCCAGGGGTCATTTTAAGGGGGAATGAAGTGAGAGATAGTGGGCTGAGACTCAAGCATCCCTCTGGGGATGAAAACAAGGCCTTGGGAGTTGTCGAGACGGTTTGGAGAAAAGTGTCAAGGTTGAGGGAAGGGGCCCAATACCCTGAGGAGCCCACGAGGGGCATGAAGAGAGCCAGAGAAGCAGGTGGAAATGTAAGAGGAGCGGCCAGAGAAGCCAGAAGGAGTTTCAGAAGAGGGAATGGCTCTGCCTCTGAATCCAACACTCCTGCAACAGTCAGAGGAGGGGAGGGCTGAGAAGTGGAGGGTCAGGGAGTATTTACAAAAAGGCTTCAGAGTGTGGAGGAGGTTTAAATGGTGGTGATGGGATCTGCCACCGGGAATGAGTGTAAGCAGGGCTGTCACACAGGGCTGAACAGGTTGTGCACTGCACACTTCAGTGACCATCCATTAAGGGAAAAACGGCTTGGGGCCAGGGCACAACCCCTGGAGCTGGGGGTATTTTGTGAAGCCTGTAACTGCAGTGTGGATACTGCACACACGGTGGCGCCAAATGCCAACGCTGTACTGGGGCTTGGCTGAGGCAGGGCTGGGGCCAGTTTGGGGATCCTCTGCCCCAGGGTCACCATTGGATGGTGGAGGGTATTGGCAGATGCCCTTGGCTAGAACCCTCCCCTCCACAATGCCCTCCAAGTCTCTGTCAGAACAGTTCTCCTAGCGGTAGGAACTCAGAAATAAATCACACACCACACACTGTAGCCTTTGTCAGGAGGCCCCTCCCCCATTCTGAAAAGGTCCCAGGGGAGCAGCTCATCCCATGATCTGGGAGGGGCACGGACGTCCCTCCCACTTGTCCCTTAGGAGAAAGGAGTCAGGAAGGAAGGAAGGACGCCTGGCCCAGCCCGCGGGACACAGTCACCCCACACCAGCACCGCCCTGCTCAAAGGTCCCCCTGGAGGCCAAAGCTGGATCAGTCGGGGCCAATGACAGGCCCAACCCAGCCTGGGGCAGAGTCCCTAGGGAAGTCACCTGTTGAGCCTGTCGACCCTGGACGAGTGCAGGGACCAGCCTGGAAATGCCTGAATAAGTACGTAATGGCCATGTTGTCTTTGAAGACAATGACATGCTCATTGCAAACCACTCTTTAGTATAAGTAAACACAAAGAAGAAAACAAAACCAGGTGAAATGACAGTGCCCAGAGCTGGCCACTGCTGGCACGGGGATCAGTCTCCTGACAGCTCTCAGGGTCAGACGATGCAGATCGGACCTGAGGAGACTCCTGCTACAGAACAGGCAGCCCTTCGGGTGTGTTCTCCACTCCGTCTCTACTGTGTTGAGCACCTTTCCCTACTCAGATATGAAACCCTCTCTCCCTACCCTACCTGACCGGACCCTGCCACCTCTGAGACCTCCTTTCTTTCCACACGACTCAACTACAGCAAGCTCATCTTCGAGATGTTGTTCCCTGCCCCTGCTGTTCCGGATTATTCAATGACCGTTTCCTTCTTGTTATTCAGGTCTCAGCTCCAATATCACAAGATGTTGTTCCCTGCCCCTGCTGTTCCCTCTGTCCCTGCTGTTCTGGATTATTCAGTGACCATTTCCTTCTTGTTATTCAGGTCTCAGCTCCAATATCACTGTCTCAAAGAGGCCTTCCCTGCCCACCCTGACTAAAGTGGCTCCTCAGCCCCATCACTCCATGTCACATCACCTGGCTTATTTTCTCCACAACTCTTCCTCTCTCTGAAGACGTCTTTACTAATATGTTAACTTGATTATTATCTGTCTCCTTTGGCTGGAGTGTAAACTCCTCAAGAGTAACCTTGCCTGTCTAGTCTGCTTCCGTGACCCCAGCATGCAGAATGATGCCAGGCAGGCACATAGTAGGTGCTCAGTCTATGCCTGCCATCCATTTTCAGTGCTCACAGAGCACCTCAGGGTATGCACGAACCTCCTTCAGCCCTCTGTCTCCCGCTGATGGTCACGAGGGTTGTCATCCCTTGATCCCTGATTAAACAAGCCAATAATCAACACCCTAAAACACAGATCTTTTCTTGCCTGTGTAACTTTTTGGAATAAATTTCTTGAAGTGGAACTGAAGGGTGAAAGGGGAGTTTGCACTTGACATCCTGAAAATACTACATTTATTTATTTATTTATCTATTTATTTATTTATTTATTTATTTTTAATCCTCACCTGAGGATTTTTTTTTCCCATTCCTTTTTCAGAGCGAGTAGAAAGGAGAGAGGTAGAGGGAGGGAAAGAGAAAGAAACATTGATGTGAGAGAGACACATCGACGGGTTGCCTCCCACACATGCCAGTGGTTAGAGCATCAGCCCCATGCACCAAAGGGTCGATTCCCAGTCAAGGGCATGTACCTGGTTTGCAGGTTTGATCCCTGGCACCAGTCGGCACGCGTGTGGGAAGAGGACCCACATGTCCAGCTGCCTTCTGGACACCTCATCCTAGATCAGGGGTGGGCAAACTTTTTGACTCGAGGGCCACAATGGGTTCTTAAATTGGACCGGAGGGCCGGAACAAAAGCATGGATGGAGTGTTTGTGTGAACTAATATAAATTCAAAGTAAACATCATTACATGAAAGGGTACGGTCTTTTTTTTTTTTAGTTTTATTCATTTCAAACGGGCCGGATTCGGCCCGCGGGCCGTAGTTTGCCCACGGCTGTCCTAGATGGATGGCCCCCAGCCTCCTCAGATACCACCTGCCCAAACTGACCACTCACCTTCCCCTAACTTGATCCTCCAGACCTCCCCACATCATTGAAAAACACCAGCATCCGCCTGGCTGGTGTAGCTCAGCGGTTAAGCATTGACCTATGAATCAGGAGGTCAGGGTTCAATTCCCAACAGAGCATATGCCCGGGTTGCGGGCTCAATCCTCAGTGGGGGGCACACAGAAGACAGTCGATCAATGATTCTCTCTCATCATTGATGCTTCTATCTCTCTGTCCCTCTCCCTTCCTCTCTGAAATCAATAAAAATACATTAAAAGAAAGAAAGAAAGAAAGAAAGAAAGAAAGAAAGAAAGAAAGAAAGAAAGAAAGAAAGAAAGATATACCAATCACCCAGGCCCCAAACCTTGGCATCATCTGGGCTGCCTCCTACTCCAGATCCCATCAGTCACCCAGCCCTCCATCTGCCTCCTGGACATCTTTTAAATGTCTCCTCTCTCCATCCCCTCTCCAAGGCCACCATGACCTTGGCTGGAAAATAATAGCAGCCTTTTTCTGCCCTACCTACCCCCTCCATGCACTGCCTGAGTGACCCTTGCAAAGCACACACGTGACCACAAAATTCCCCAGCTTAAAGCCCAGGTTCCTCATCCCCGAGGGTAAAATTCATGTTCCTCAGCCAGTTCCCAGGGCCTCTCATGACTGGCCGCATCCCCAACACAGACTCACACAATTCTCCAGCCATAGTAAGCTCTTGTTCCTGCCAGCAAGAGAGGCTGCTGCTCGCTCCCATGCCTTAAACTCTACTGCACTCTCTGCCCCAGACACTCCTCCAAAAATCTATCCTCTGCCTGCCTATGGTGCCCCAACAACTTGCCATGTTAAGGGCTCCTTCCCTACAAAACCTTCCTAACCAGCACACTCGCTCTCTCACACACACACACAAACGTGCACACAGACACAATCATGATCTCACACACACTCACTCAGTGATACAGGAGGTGCAGAGACTCTGGGATGTACCTGCCCTGATGGTCAGTGAGCCCCCATGGGCAGGGACCAGGTGGCCTCACCTCTGTCCTCCCACTTCTGATCCCCCCAAGACTGAGCACACAGCAGGTTCCTCAAATGCTTGCTGAATACCTGGTGAATGAACGAATGAATGCTGCACACTCTATCTGAGGCATGGGCCGCAGGCACAATAAGGGGCAGGCTTTATTCTCTCCCCTCACAGAAAGCTGGGGGTGAAGTTGCATAGTAGAGGGCTGTAGCCACGGGGCCTATGGGGTGGGGTGTGGGAGGCCTCCATTTTTGGGGGGATT